TTTTTTTTTTTTTTTTTTTTTTTTTTTTGCTTATTTCGTTAAGTTTGAATGATTTTTTTTTTTATTATTATCATAATTGTTGTTGTTGGATTTATAGATGGGATAGAGAATTAGAATTGATCTATTTTATATGATTTGCTTGGTTTGAAGACTTTTGATAAATATTCTTTCTTTAAATATCCAAAATTAAAAAAAAAATTAAATTAGATTTAGATTTGGATTAAGTTTGTTTTAGATTGCAATAAATTATTTCATAAAAATTAATAAAAATATCATATTTTAGCAAGTTTAAATTCTAGAAAAATGTTGCATTATAAAAATCATTACAATGACGCGAGCTTTAAATTAAAAATGATCTTGTATTTCAAACATGATTTTTTTTTAATAATAATATAAATTTTATATGTCATTTTAAGAAAAAGAAGTTAGTTTTAATTCTAAATTTTGTTATTCAAAAATTTTTATTTTGAATAAAATTACAAAATAAAAACTATATTCATAAAAGTATCAATAATGTTATATGAATTACCTGTACTTTTTCAAATTTTCTGATTAATTTATTGTTTTAATAATAATATGTATAAAGTTTTAATAAAAAAAAATCTTTCGCAATATTATTAAAATTGGAAAAAATCAAACTATAAATACCCTAAACTATTCAATTACCTTGTTTTTGAAAAAACTTTTCAAAACCTGTTTTTTATTTTTATCAAAAAATAAAAATTGAAAACTGAGATGTTTTTTTTTCACATGTTACATATAAAATATTATATCAATATATGTAGATAATTTTATAAAATTATTTTTGAAACTTTCCTTTTATCACTTCGAATATTTTATTAATAAAATAAGATTTTATAAATTTATTATTTAAATCATCATATTGACATTTATTGAGCATAGTATTTACCTATCAACTTATTTCGTCCAACGTGAATTTTATAAATAGATCAGTCATGCAGATTTCTTCATGACATCACGATCTATGATTGATCGTTTTAGAAAGTATACCGCTATCAATGGACATCGCTTTAAGCATTTATAACATGAACATTTAACTTGCATACTATCTTAATGTGTCTTGGAATGTGATCAAATTTTGATGTCAAAAGAACTTCAAGGTCATATCAAGGTCGTAAAGTCAAAAATAACCAAGATCATAATTTAAAAATGTTATATGGGCGAAAAAATAAGTGATTTTCTGCAAAAAGTTTTAAGAGCAAAATGACTGAAAATAATAATTTTTCTCTTCAATATCGATATTTCTCTGTCAAAACATGTATATATAAATACAAGATAGCTATAAAACATAAATAAATATATTTCTACACAAACGAAAAATTAAATTCTGTTCCAAAATCTACTCTCTTCAAATTATTATTTTATTCAACAATCGGATATTATACAATTACTAATATTAGATTTTCAATGTTTCAACAAACAAGAAATAAAAAATACAATATATTCATCTCCTACATTTAAAGCGTTTCAATCAAACGGAAAATAAATATTTCATTTATTGTCGAATCCAAATATAAATATTAAGTAATATTTGTCCGTAATTTAGAAATTAAACAAAATTGTATCTTCAAATAGTATTTACTTATATTTGTTTTCCAATATTTGTTTTAATTCAAATTTTCCTCAATTCTACATATATATAATATATATAATTCAATTCAAACACGCAAGAATAAATACATCAAACAAATATATTTATCGGAGTCCATTTATGTATATATTTAAAATTTATAATTCTACAAGTTCGATTTCCCTGAGCTTAAGTCCATAACATATAATATAATATTTAGATGTCACATATTAATATATTAATATATCTTTAGAAGATCGATTCTAGAGGCTAAAATAAACACATTTAAATTATTACATAAAAATATCAATTAAACTTCATTTATTAAGTTATTGCAATTGAAATTTGCATTAGACAAAGCAAGAGAATAAAATAGCTATCGTTATATTATTCTTCGTTATTATTGTCACTTTGTTCTCATTTTATTTTATCTAACACAAACTTAGACTTTATGCTTATAACTTAATAAATAAGATAAAACCGACATTTTTGCATATCAATTTTGATATTTGAAAAAAAAAATTCACAAATATCATTTATTGCTTCCGTTACAGTTAATGTAATTTTAATATAATATAATTTAATATAATTTAATAATATAAAACGGAGATAATATTAAGTAATCTATTATTAACAGATTGTAAACATAATTTCGAATTATAATAGTATCAATGATTATAATTCGATTCATAAAGATAAATTTCGACTCGTTAAGCATTCAAATAGTGATTTAAAAAATTTATATTATGATTTATAAAAATTTACATAATGAAATGGAAAAAAATAAATGAAATTTTTGTCTTGTGAAGATTTTCCAAAAATTTATTATATCATATTCGACTGTGTAATTTTTCTAATGTTATTGACAAAAAATCTATCGAAACATAATTATTTATTAAATTTATTCTGCTATTCTGATATCAATTGATCAATTTTAAAAAATATTCAAAGAGACGATGTAATATAATGATTTAAGATAGTGATAATGTTATATAAATAATAAATTTTAATTACAATTTAGTTGTTATTTTTATTTAAAAATTATAACATGTTATAACTAAAGTAGTAAGTTAATATTAATAAACGTAATGTTAGTCTTAATAAACGTAATGTTTCTTCTTAATAAACTTAATATGTAATGAGTTAAAATATATTTTACAATAGAACTTTAATATATAACAAGGTTGAATTATTATTATATTAAATGTAACTTAATTATATTCTAAGTATAACAAATAAATATAATATGTAATTTATTTATATGTATTTTTTTCAATTTTAATTATATTAAGATTCAAAATTTAACAAGAATAGATTGATTTCAATGAAGAATATTTCAATAAATAAAAATAATTTCAATGAAATTATAAAAAAAAACTTATTTTTTTCATAAAAATAAAAAAATCTTTTCTATTTAAAAGCATCCTATCATATTTTTCAAAAGAAATATAATTTTTACTAGAGTTGAAGCTAATCTAACAATAGTCCTAAAAACGAAGTCGTGCATACAAAGAAGAAAAAGAAGTCATCGACTCTGATGCGACGTTGAAATAAAAATTTACACTTTGCTACGCTTTCCTCCATCTCTATCTTATTCGTTTGTTAACCCGTTTACCCTTCTCTTTCTACTCCTTTCTCTCAACTCCTTTCTCTCTTCCCCGCTTCACGCTATTATCCCCACCCAATTCAATCCCTTTATTTCTCTCCATCTCGCTCGTGACATCTACCGTTCTCTTTGTCTATAATACCTCTTCTCCTTTCGACTCTCATTTCTTTTCCTTTTTATGGAAACGAGAGAAGAATCGGAAACGCGTATCTGGAATCGTCAACGGACCGAGTCAGCGCGAACTTCACTTGAAACAAGAGCGAAATCCCTCTTTTGAAGCGACAACAATTTAATTTATTATTTGTTTGTTCGAACCGAACGTAATGCTCGCGAAATTTGTTAATATCGGGTATGACATTAGTTTAATGCTCGTTGAATCACGCACGGAAATCACGAAAGCCGATTGATGATCGCTTTGAACTTCTATCTCTGCTTAAATATTCGACAAAAACGAGATCTCGAAAGAATGGATTGGTTCTCTCTTCTAGCTTCCGCGAATATAGACTACGAAATCAATTGACCGCTCAAAGTCAATAGGCAATGAATCCCCACCATAGACGAAATTTATATAATCTGTATTATACTGAAATGAAGTGACTTTATGTTTATTTCAATAAACAACATGAAATCTTAATTTAAGAATTAAATATCATGATAATTTCAATTGAAACTTTTTTATGAATTTGTTATATTTTTCTTAACATAAAAGTAATTAAAAAGGTACACAAATATAAATAAAAAAATAAGTTTCAGATACTTTTTTTTTTATTAAGGACGTAACAATGTTTATTCTGATGTTTATATTGATTTTCATTAAGACAGAAAAATATATGCATTTTATTTTTTTAATATTTTTAATTTTAATCATATGATATATTTAATTATACATTTAAAATTAATAATTCTAATCATATGACTAGCAAACAATATTTTTTAAATAATAATAAAATTTCCGTTCTAAAATTTTGAAATCATTCAATAAATGTCAACTTAACTCATAATGTGAATAAAACGACAAATGTCATTCGGAGATATTTCATGGTCAAGAAAATAGTCTTGTGCAATCAATTAATTTCAGTCAAAGTATAATAACAATAGCTTGGTCGATCTTGTCATTCATGAACGTTTTTCAGGGAAATCGTGCCAAATAGACCGATTAAAATAATGTAACAGACTTATCTCACGTACCCTCGAGCAATAATAGTTAATGCTCAATCGACGATCCGCTGTGATTCCCCCTTGTTCTTCTCTCTCGCTTGACAAGAGCGCGGCCAATAAACCGAAAGCTCTTTCTGGGTCTCGACTAGTAGTGTTGCTGCTCGTGAACGACCGCGCACACGAAACGTTCTTCTCTTGCTCGCGTGATGTGAGCTTAAACCACGAGAGATCAATGCACGGCAACAAGAGAAAAAGAGAGGAGAGAAACAAAGAAGCCGTTCTTTCAGGGTGTTCACTCGAACGTGTGTGAACGTGACTGTACACAACTCTATTGGATATATATGTACATATGTGTATGTTACGTGACGCGCACTCTATACTACTACGGATCTTAAAAGAAACAGGAAAGAATTACGACACCGTAAATCTCAACCGACTATTCGAAAGCGAAACGTGGCGTCGTGGAAAAATGCAAGACGACAGCCGTTTATTGTGATCTGTGTATTTTGGTTATTTACGTCACGCATGGCTTTCGCCCTGGCGAAAACAGATTTGTAATGTTGGCAGCAATGACTATTAGTATCGGTTATGTTTCCAAATCGTGATGGAGAATTTAAAAGAAATGCGTAAAAGAAAAGAGGAATCTAACAAAATATATTCGTCGAGACTTGTTTATAAAATTGTGAATCATCGACGGAGTAGTCACAATGAGATATGTATATATGTATTTATGCAAATAAGCCTAATAATTCTGTGTTGATAACGTTCTCTCAATTAAAATATTACGAATCATTGAATTCTTCTAAGAAATGCATCGACAATATATTTTTTTTTGATCGTGATCTTTATCAATTTAATTAATTGTAAATTAATCAATATTTATATTTCATATATCTAAAATTATTTATAAATAAATCATTTTCTTCTATAAATAAATCAATTAGATCATTTATTTTAATTGAGAAAAGAAATTAATACATATACTGGATAAAATTTATTAGGAGCTTAGCGAAATGCAAGAGAAACGAGGAGAAACGAGATAACACGGGAATTCTGCATGCATACGCGAGCAAACGCAGTATCGACTACGTCGTAGTGGTATTATAAGTGGAGTGATAAAATGAGATCATCGTTACCGCTTCTCCGCGCACTCTGACGCATACCTATATACGTGGCAGACGTGACCTACACGATACAATGACATTCGTGTATCGTACATCGCAAAAAAACAACGTATGCATATATTTACTGATGTGTTTACCGCCGGTTGGCCGAAAAACGGACGTGCACTGCAACACGGCTACAGAGTACGCTGCATGTTGCGTCAGAGTGTATACCGGTGAAGGTCACGCGTTCCAAAACGCGTGATTACGTTACGGAGTTAAAAAAAATCTAGACTTGGTTATAACTTAAAAAAATTCAGTATCAGGAAATTTATGATATTATCTATTAACAATCGAATTAAAAAATATTTGAAAAATCAATTAAAAAAGAAAAAGTTAAATTATAAAATCGAACAGTGTAAATTAATGGTTAAATTTAAATTTGCATTAAACTTGGATTAGGTTAAATGATTTGATTATTTTATATAAAAATATATTATATATATTAAATTTTTTTAAATTCTATTGATATCTCATCGTATTAACAAAGATCAATAAAAAATGTTTAATACTTCAAAACAGAGCTTGTAATATTCAGCTTCAAACGATAATCATGATACTGAGAAAACACACTGTAAACACGAAGGAGCAACGAGGCGAGGATAGGCGTAATAACAAAGGTCACGTTCCGAGATCCAACGACGGTACACGCGTTCGTTGCCATGTGCCAATGACATGGCACACACAGGCATACGGGCGCAACCACGATGAAACTTCCCGTAGATCGAAGGAGAAAGGAAAAAAACACACATATGTGTAAATATACATGCAGCAAAGCAATACTCACCTCTTTCCCTTCGTTCAATATACTCGGCGGCCTGTAGTAGGGCAGCAATGCTCATATTTCCCCGGTTTGGCGTAATTCTGGCGGCTTCGGTTCACTACCTCTTTCTCTGCAATCCCGGCACACACACCGATGATCACCGCCGCGCGCGGCGACACACAACGCGATAAACGTTCAGAACGCACACCACGAGCAGCAGCCTTGTATACACCGCGGCGATCTGTATTGTTGTTGTTGTGATGTTGTTGATGTTGGCTGGCACTGGTATTGCCGCTTCTCGAACTTTTCTCTCCGCCCGCCTGTTCAACCGCCTCTCCTTCTCCGCCCCCTCTTCCACCACCGCCACCTCTTCCTTCTTTTCTCGTCCGTCCGCGCGCCTCGCTGGCTGCGTTCGCTTAGGTGCACGTAACACACACGCGCGCGCGAGACTAGCCCGATTTCAAACGCGCACTAGATTCACGGACGGCAAATCGATGGCCAGGCCTTTCCAACCGCGTTACGCATCAAGAACCGTCTTTTTTTTTCTACTAGATATATCTCGTCAACTGTTTCGTAGTATTAATTTCCTTTCGTAGCCGTGTTTTTACCGTTCAACAATTTTCGATCTATCTCGTTCGCGTTTGTCTTTATCTTACTCCAAGTTCCACTTGCCCTTCTACTCACACGTCAGTTTACTTTTTTCCTTTTCTATATATTTGCTTTTCCCGCTCAATATCGTTTCACTTTACTCCTGTAACGTTATTGTCCTTTTCTTTTCTTTCTCTTTCTATCTTCGTCGGTTCTCTTCTTTCTTCACCTTCGTTTCACAACATTCACTACGATCACACCAAATCACGTGAAATAAAAAAATCAACAACCGATAGAATATATGCGAGACAAGAAAATACGACGCACTGCTGCTCCACACTTCCATACACGGAGTCGCGTGCGAGCGAACCGAAAGCGTATTTCACGAATACATACACAACAAAGACAGAAAACAGCGCGCGCAAGAGAGCAAGTAAGCGCGAACGGTACAATTGGAAAGAACACTATAGTACAGTCACTAGGCGAGTCGAAAGGGTCGAGATTACGCGTGTCGCTGGTAATTTATCGCAGACGCGAGCAACTGAGCAAGCGAATGAACGAATAAACGAATGCAAAAGAACCTGACCTCGATCAGCGGCCGGTTCGACTTGTGCGCGCTCGACGAACTATTATTTTTGGTCAGGAAACGAGTATCGCGTATCGTATACAGCGTGCATGTGCATGCGACCACTTTACGTGCCGGCTACTTGTTTTGTGCAACGACCTTGAACGCGTAGATCTTACCGAGATCTTACCATATACCAAATGGCTGAAAGAATGGATTTAGATGTTGCGATATTTCGAATATATATGACGAATTTTATTATAGTGATTTAAATGGAATTCAAATGGAATAGAGAGAATTATTCCAAAATAAAACATAAAATTTTGAATTTTCCAAAAAGGAAATTTTCAGTTTAAATAAAACTATAATTCTTTTTCTTAATCTACGAACGTAAAACTCGGTCAACTGCTCGCGAGGTCAATGATTTCCATCAAACATGCAATACGCAGTTTGTGGTAACAGATAGACACACATAGAAACTGATGTGACGTAGTATACTAATAAAACCACAATTTACTTGTCAGAGAAAACGTATATTGTCACGCACAAAATACACGTAAATCTTCTAGAAACTCGCATCATACGCGAGCAATCACAATAATACTCGTATAGTTTTCCGTTCACGATGAGCACACAGAAAGGCGCTCCCTTGATTCCGTTCTCGACTGGATTGCAAGCGACTTTCAGTACACATGCACATTACACCGCACAAACATGTCTATACACACGCATGTAATGCGAATGAAAATATGTGTATACGTGATCGGTAATAAATGTGATTCCCATACAAGAAACAACGGCAACACGGTGGTGCATACACACGTTCACGATATGTAGAGAATACAGCGCGAGAAGTGATACGCAATACACGGAGTAACATTAAAGATCACGCGAATGTATACCGCGTATCTGACAATATACATTATCGCTCATTTCTGACGTTTTGATGTGAATGATACCTCTTTGCTGTATACATGCACAGTAAACGCATGTGTATGTATGACGTCGAGGATCGAGTATATTTCGACCCTATCGTCCACCTAGTGACATTTGGCACGCCGGATACGTTCGCTCACACACGAAAGTAGGTGCAGCTGAGCGACGTCGTAAAGAAAGACGGTCACTGTGGATCGGCACTGCCTAACACTACTACTGCACAGGTTTTCGCGGGTACAAAGTGGGGGTCTAGTCAGGACAAAGAAAAGGAGGCTCGAACTGACCGACGACGACGAGCCCACGAGCCCCCGACGACGACGACGACTACAACAAGCCGACGAGCGAGCGACAGCCTGATCCGCACTTCGCGAGCACTCTCACGCATTTATCGATGTCAAACGTCTCTGCACCGTAGAAGCACCAGGCGTCGTTTCTTACGATGTTCCTGATTGGCTAAGCGGTGCGCGAGTGCACTGCCTCGGCCAATAAACGTTGATAATACGGCGCTGCCGTATGAGCCGCCACCAGCACCGGTGGTGTCACGTGAATCTCATGCCCGAAAACAAAACAAACAGCTGGCTGTATTCCTTGCCTCGCTCTCTTGCACGCTATCGTGCGTGTGCTTTTGATGCATGATATTCTTGGAATAGACAGAAGTAGTCTCTTTTCCATGAATAATATACTAAAATTGACAAATTACATATGCAAAAATTAATCAATTATCGATTGTATCGAGAATCAATTTATAACAATGTGATTGATTTTTAAATCATTTGAAATGCATTCATTCTCTTCTTTTTATTAATCTATAATCTCCTTGTAAAAAAAGTAATATACACATTATTATTCAAATTAAATTCAATATTAAATCTAAAACATCATTTAATATTTTCTTATATTAAGAATTTAAGATTATGTATTTGAAAATTCATACAATCGCGCCATCTTTTGCAGTCTATTTGCCATTACCTATACTTTTTCAAATTGGTACTTCTGAATCTCTCGAGATCTATGTAGTGTTCGATATTGAGTTTGAATATAACGAATCTATACTTAGATTCGATAAATTTTGATAATTTTCTATATTATAATAATAAAAAACATGTGTTAAAAACAAATAAAATATTGTTAATATTTATAAAATCTATAAATTTTTGTGATTATTGTCAAAGGTTAGAAGAATTTCTTCAAAGACGCGATTTCTATACGAAGTTGATGAGTAAGTAAAAAAATATTTATAATTTCTATATATTTTATTTGATTTCAATAATGAGGATTAATATTTGTAATAATGTACTCATATAATTACATATATCTTAATTTTAATAGTATTTATCATTTTATTGATTATTTTCGAGTACAATTATTTTCATTTGTTATGCACGTGACAGAAAAAATTGTACGGTATTTCCATACAAAATCTTTGAAATTAATATATTTGTATGCAAATATGCAATTAAATATAATTGATTTTATTAGTAAATATTAAAAAAGTAAATAATAAATTTAATTAAATTTTTAGATTATAAATATATGTAAATATATATATTTATATCACATCTATTCAGGTTACTCATGTAATAAAATATTTATTTTTATTATATTCTGTATAAAATAAATACTTAATTTATTAAATTATCAACAATAAACAAAAATTATGAGATATAATATATGAAAATAATAAATTCATAAAAAAATTTGTAAAATAATTAATGTTTAAAATTTCATTATATCTGTATATTTTTTATATCATTGAAAAAATAAAATAAAATTAAAGATTAAACTATATAAAATTTTATATAAAATTTTCTATTATTCTATTTTTTATCTATTATTTTATATCTATATTATTTAAATTATTTTTATCTTTTATCTTTCATATTTTAGCATATTAATAAATTTCTCAATTCTTATTTTTTTTTTAAATATATAATTTTTTATTCTATATCTATCTTTTTTACATTCCTTTCTTGCATATATCATTTTACTATTTATATAAATATAAGAAAATTTGTAATTTTATAATATGAAAAATTACATGCGAGATACAGGAATAATATCAATTAAAGCAAGTGCATTTTGAAGTACAATTTGCAATGCATGTAGCATATATAATCTTGTACTCATTGTTGGAATCAAATGATCATATGCTTCCTATAATGAAAAAATTATATATAATAAATTATTTATCATGCAATAAGATTTATCATTTAATTATAAATATTAATTAAAAAAATAAATCAAATAAAAAAAACTCACAGTTAAAATTCGAATTCTACGATAGTAGATACTAAATTTTTGACATAATTTTGCCAAAAATATGCAAATAACCTGTGGATTTACTTGGAATATAGGATCATATTTTAAACAATCTTTTAACATTTGCTGATATCCAATAATAAAATTATATATAAGTTCCCATTCTTCCTATAAAGTATAGAGTTATTTATTTAGCATATATTTGTTCTGAACAATTGGAAATAATAATAATTTAATATTTTGTAAATGAAATACCTCTTGTTTTAATAAAGAAAAATCTATATCATTCATGTGTGGTAAATTAGGATATTCTCCTTTTAATCTTTTATGATTATACTTTTCAATAATGGCTGTTATTCTTGCTATATTATATAATATAAAACATGCACCTAAAAACTAATAATGATAGAAATTGTTTCTTCAAAAATTCTACATAGTTCATGTAAAATTTTGAATTGAAAAAACCTTTTGTATTTGTGGTACTTTTATTAGTTGCAAAATTGCATCCAATAAAAACAGGACGACTTGGTTTTACAGATAATAATTCAAATGTACTTGTTGCTTTTGCAAGATCTTCAAAGAAATCATTTTCTGTTTCTATATTGTATTCTTGTGTTTCAAAATATTTGTGTTCATTTGATGCTTTTAATTCTTTGATTTTATTCTTAACATATTCTTGATATGTTAATTTTATCTCCTTACAATTTGTTTCAATATTTTTCACAACACCACATATATATCGCTTATAATTTTCCTTTACATTTCCTTGCGATTTAGAAGTAAATACAAATTTATAATCAGAATTTTCATCTGCTATTTTAAACCCATGTAGATTTAAAATCTTTTTGGTGACACATTGTATTAAATATAATCTTTTAGTTGTAAGTTCTGATTCATTATCTTGAAGCGATTTTAAACTAAAAATCTTATTAATTGAAACAGTTTTTCCAAAATTATGTTTAGCTGTTATAACTGCTTTGATTGCATTTTCTATAAGGGGAGTACGTTGTAAAAACAAACAGACTCGTTCTTTTTCTAAAAGATATTTTTGTAATTTTATAGACCAAATATTGCTAGATGATATTAATAATTGTAAAACCTGAAAAAATCAGTATCATCAAATATTTTTTACTCCTAGAGATAGGTTATGTTTATCTTGTTTGTGATTTATTTATTTTCTTTTATATTTTACCTGATTTGAAATATCTGTATCAGTATTATTATTTATGCTTCCATCTTTAATATGTAAAAAATGTTGCAAAATTGTTGTACACTTTCCATCACACTTATCTGTATCTTTCAATACATTTCTCCATATTTTAAGGCTAAGTAAAAAATATAATTCACCATTTATTGCTAAATTTTCATTGTTTATTTTAACAATTGATATATTTTTGTTAGAATTACCACTTAAATATGAAGTTATATTATTTGTAAGTAATTCCATGCAAATAATTGATGTGTTTTCCATTTGTAACTCCATATGTCAGTTACTCCAATGTGAAAGTAGCTTTAATTACTGTAATAAAATGATTTTAAAATTAGTTTCATTTATGAAATTTACAAATTTCCCCTTCTAATATTGTTTATTTCAAATATTAAAAGTATTTGTAAACTATATAAATTTTTAATCTAAATATTTTTTATAATTGTCATATAAAAAGTAATCAAGATTAACATGAAGGATATAAAATCAATAAAATAACACTAGATTGGTAAATTTTACATATTATTTGCACTTTTTAATAATTAAAATATGCAAGTAAAATAATTAAAATACCAATTTTCAATAATTTCTTTATTAGAGTCACAAGTCGAATTGTGCAAATAAGTGAATATGTAAATATTAACATTATTATAATATTCGCTATCCTTAAGGTATACGTATATATCTTACAAAATCATCACAAAAAACAATTTTCTATTTAAGCGTATCTAAACTGATCGATCATTAAGTAAATTTATTCGGCCATAATACTATAATTAAATTCTATAATTTACATTATTCTTTTTTGATATCAATTATCACATAGAATGATGATATTTCACATATGCTATCGCAGCCAGTTCCTTGCAAAATTCTTCTGTTACGATCACACTTTCAAACAGGATATTTTCTTTTTCCCTAAAATTAAAATTACAAACTATTTAATATCAAACAACAATAATAATTCATTTTTTCTCCAGTACCTACCCTTCGTGAGAACAATCTTCCAGCAATCGTTCTCGTGTTTCTTTAAGCATTTGTTTGTGATCTGGCGTCTTTGGTACTTCGTTCACCAGCTGCTTGACGACTTTTTGCAAACAAGTGAACAAGTTCTTTGTGCCGGGTGCCAGCGGTAGTAATGGATTTAATAAAAATTCATGCAGGTACGGATGAGGTAAAAGCGCCAGTCTTGAGATCACTACAGTCAACTGCAAATTGACCTCATACTTTTGCTTTGGAATATTCGTTACTTTTTCGAATAGCATCGTCATGAACGGGCCCATATAGAATCTCACGGAACAATGATCCGCTTCCGGTCTAGAATCAGAACTCGCGGAATCGTCCACAGTTATTGCTTCCAGTGGCCAGGCCATTAACGAGCAATCCGTCAACACAGTAGAATACTGCCTTTCCAAATCAGCCATGTATCGCTCATAATTATTTACGTCCGTGTCTGTTTGTAGATAACGAGGAATCAGAGACAGAAAACTGAAAATAGAGAACAAAATTGAACTGAAAATTGCGCATTACAATGATACATTTGCGTATATATTATTATATTCAATGAATCGAATGAAAAAAAAATTTTGCCAATATAATCATGTTCAATGATTTATTGAAATGATCTATTGATAATTTCTAATTAAATTATACATTATTTGTCAAGTATTAAAAATATATAAATTGAGAATTTTATAAGAAATATGACTGTTGTTGAATTTTAATCGTGAAGTTTTACAAAAATCATTTTTGTTATGAATATTCTTCAATTGAATAATTTCTTTTCTACATTTTTGAATGATAAAAATATTTTTTCTTATTTTCTTTTTTTTGTAGAAGTTGTTCATTCGTTTCTAAGATTTTTTATTAACTGCTTACCAATTTACAATTCTATGAATATTACTAGGTGCTAATGTTCGACTATGACTTTG